AGAAGAGGGGAGTAAAGTCCTCAGAAATCCTTCTCTTGATATTACGCTTGCTAATATCTCACTAGTGTCTTTCAAATGACCCAGGCCAGATCTGCAAGAGAAATGCTAATGCCTTCAGTGTAAATAGTGCCAATGCTCTAGCTTGGGTTTTATGGTCCTTTAGCTTGAGCTGATCCTGTCTTGGAAGAGCAGGTGGTCTAGAGAACTGAGGGGCAACCCCTACACCTTGTTTTTGTGAGGCATACAAGGGATTTGAAAGGCTCTTAGCACCTTTATGATTTTTAGTTTGTGCTTTGGACTTGTTCTGAAGAAAATGGAAACCTGAAAAACAAAAAATACAATCTTGTATTAGATAAATGCTATTGGAAATGGAAGCAGGCCTTGTTTTTGTAATCAAAACCATTACATTTTTGACGGTGGATGATAGCTCTGCCTCTGCCAGTTGGTCCAGCTCTTCCCCAGACATGGCTTTCAGCTTCCCATTGCAGAGACCAATATTCTGTCCTGCAAAAAAAAGCCCCAAATGAGATCTGCCCATCAGCTCTGGAAAAAGCCAACTATTTCCCAACTCAAAGAATAGAGGCAGCAATTAAAGAATTTACTGGGAAATACTTCTGAACATGGGGCATCTGACAGGGCACACAGGTCTCTGGCTCTGAGCTGGGCCGGTCACCCTGTCCTTACTCAGCTGGAGTTACGGAAGCAATACAATACCCAGATCTGTCGCTCTCCTCTCTGCTGCTTGCTCTGTGTATTTCTAATGGCAAAATGCAAAAATGGGAAGCGCAGAGATACTCACACTCCAAATATTAGTGGAGTCTATAATCCCAGCAATGCCATCTGTCTCACTGAAGGGTCTTACACTGAGAGTTTGCCATTTCTGGCGCTAAAATAGTGGAATTAAATTACTGGAATTTGGCCCATAGTCCATAGCTGCTCTATTACTGCATTTAATATGATTTGTTTCAATGGAAAAGCAAGAACTCAGTGGCATTTAAAACCTCTATTGCACACACAAAAAGAATTATAAAGTTGATTATTAAGTGACGTAACATTTGACTGATCTGACAGACATAATACAGACCCACAGGAAAGAAGCTAAGTTTGTTACCTATAGCCACAGCAGTTTCCAGGGCATCTCCAGTTATCATCTTTACTGATACACCAGACTCAAAAAGGACTTGAACAGCTTCTCTCACTCCAGCCCTTGGGGGATCAATTATTCCAACCAGACCTAAAAATGTTAGTTTGCCGAGTTCTGGACCTGAAGCCAAAGCAAGTACTAGAAACAGAGGGGGAAAAGAAGAAAAGACTAAATTATTAATAATGTGCTTCCACACATTAAAATGAACATTTAGAGGAGATGTTAAATTGCCAGCTTTCCAGCAGAAAAAGTCATTAAAGCCAGATCTTTAGTCATTATATTCAGACCTTGTACAGTCACAAAAATTTGGTGCATTCAGATAATACCATTTTATCTGAATCAGAGCATTTCTGTTTCACATGTTTCTCTTAGGATTTATTTCTGTCTAATTTAAATCTGTCTACCGAGTCTTGCCTAAACACAGATGGATTAAATTGGGACAGTACAATGTTAGACCAGACACTATTAAACTACTGTGGTAAACAACAGCGCTCCTGTAAAAACTTTTTTTTTTTTTTTAAATCTAAAAATGTGAAATGTAAATTAAGTTAAACCAGTGAAACTTCCATCGTGTAAACATCAAGGCTCTGAACATTTTGTTTCTGTTCTTGGTGCCTAACCATATCATTCAATCATTCTTAAATCATTCAAGGATATTTTGCCAGGGGTTCATGTCAGTGTTGCTTTGATGATTGAATCACAAGCTCGCAGCAGCTGCCTGAGCTAATCGCTTTTCTTCAGAGCAGTAATTTGCCATTCACAATGGCAGATGATTCAGATATTGTAAAGCAAGCTCCGTACATGAGTTACTAACCGCAAGACACAGGGCTGGAGAACATGTACATTAACTATACCATCTTCCAGACCCGGCTGCCAAGACTTGTCTCATCTACTGACATCCTGGGAACACGCACAGGAGATGGCGTCTCTGTTATTGTATGAAATCTAAGACATTTCTGAAAGGATGTTTCTAGTGATGAAGGAAATAACACACGTATAAAAACTTTTGTGGGCTGTGCGCTGACATGCAGTCAGGATCCAAAGCAGATCATTAGATTTGGTCCTAACAAAGAATTGAACCAAACTTCAAATAAAAATCTCGGTGCCCAAATCCACGTTTTGAACCCCTTTCAAAGTTGCTTTTTGTGGCTCTTGAAACAGCTTCTCTAAAAGCAAAACTTGGCAGGGCAGTGCTTAGATCAGGTTCAGCACAAAGCTTTTCAATGCAACATTCAGACCGTATCCCAGGCAATCACAACACTCCATGGAGGAAAAACATTCACCGTTGCCCGCGCTTATTTTCAGCTCCTTTCAATCTCACTAATTTAAACCCGACAAATAAAGATTAGTGGAAAGCAAGCATCCAGCAGACCTAAGACAGGCCACTTGGCAAACTCTCACAAGTATTGTGAAGAGATCACGCAAGTGATGCTAAGGATTGAGCCTCTGTCCATCCCGAACAAAAGAGAGCAGGAAAGTATTAGGGCATGATAACCTGTAAGCTTAAGTGACATAGACAGTAATGACTGACCCCGTAGACCTGAGGAGCCCATTTGTTTTTCTTCCTGCTGGTAGAAGGCTTTCTGCTGGGGTGTAAGTGATAATGAGATGCCACCGCTGTTATACAGAGTGCAATATCGAATAACTTCTTCAAATGCTCCTTTCATAAAGTAAATATCTTCCTGATCCTTTAAAGTAAGGAGATAATATACTTATCAAAAAAAGAGAAAAGAGCACATTTAAAAAATACTGATAATGCATAAGGCTTCACGTTGTAAGTAAAAAAGGTCTTTTGTTTGCTCTTTTACCAGTTTTGTAAAATGCCCAGGTGCATGTATTATTTATAGGATGTGATATTTCTGCTGTAGCCATTTTTCATGTTCAACCATCACAGACAGAATGGTAATGAAAAGGTTGGTAAGTTTTTACACCGGAGTACAAAATCAGCCAAAATGAGCTCCTTAACCCGGTAAGGGAAAAATAGCCAACATTTTCTTCCAAACATCGTATCTTTCTTCCCCTGTCAGTTATCTCTGAAAAGCTTTTGCTTTCCTGCTCAAACCACTATATGAAAAGTATTATCTTCTCCCATTCAAACACAGCTTTACAAGCTAAAATTACACCCAAGTTGGGAATTTTGAGGTTTGTTCAGTTTTTCTCCTGACATAGTTAACTTCTGAAAACATTATTTGCTAAAGAGATACCATTTCATGCCCATTGTTGAACTGCACAATTAGAAACATGAAACCAACCATTGGTTGCTTTACCTCATTTTTCAGCGTGCATTTCACAGCCATCCACTTTTGCTCAGAGCTAAACGGAATTTCCTTCTTTCTTACATAAATATCTTTTATGTCAGCTAATTCCATCTAAAGTAAGGTAAAACAAAAAGAGCACTGTAATGCTGAACAACGCCAAAGCTTGTATATATTTTCCATATTACAAGCATTGACTGTTGACCATGTACTTCAGGCAGTCATACAACACAGAGCTCAAGAGAAAGCACGGGGAGAGTAAAACCCATTTTTCAAACCCATCTTTCCCTTTGGTGCCTGATATGGGATAAATGAAACTGGAGTTTGAAGCTTGATCCCTGTTGACTTTTGCAAGAACTAGGGAGCTGCACTGCTGTCTCGGTGGGGCTTTGGGTCAAAGGAGGCTCAAGTCCTTTCCCTAAACCTGTGGCTAAGGGATGGGCAGAGCAGGTTTCTTCCAGCCCAGGCTCAGCCTCCCCCACTTCAGTTATTTCCCAGCCACCCTACTTGGAAGAAAAAGGGAAATTGCATATAACTGAATGGTCAATCATGGATGTGGTTTCAAATTATTTCCTGGTGGGTTAAACTCAAAAAGCTATTCACCACAAGAAGACCCTTCAGCTATGAAGTACGACAGCCCAAATCGATACACGCCTGCTTTAGCAGCACGCGTTGTGCTCTAGGTGCAGTGGTAGTGATCAGAAGCAGCTTCCAGTCTCTCTCTCCCCTGGCTCCCACCAAACTAAAAAATTAAAAAAAAAAAAATAGAAGAGACAACCCCCTTCGTATTCTGCTATGGCTTGGCTACTGAATGGCAGAGCAGAAGGAAGAGTTTAATTTAGCATTTCGGGAAATAAAATGTCATTGTTTAAAAAAAAAAAATCGTGGTTTCACTGTTAGAGTTACAAGCTTTAAAAACAAGAGGTAAGAGCAGACATTTGCAGGTGCATCATTTCATCAGGCACCTTCTGTGCTTTACAGCCCACCTGAGGTCTGTGGATCACAGGCTGCATAATGCTGATTAGATGATAACTTGAGGTGGTTTACGGCCCTCTGCCTATGAGCATGAACGCAATATTCATCAAAGATTCTTGTTTTACATAAATGTGACTAGAAAAAAGTAAAAAGCTAGCAGATGACCCAAATCGATGATGACCCTCTGCCATGCTTTCTCATATGGCCTGTTCTTGCTCATTTTTCACTCTCTTGTCTTCCTCCTGAACTCTTAATTGGCATGTGCAGAAAATATAAAAAAGGCCGTCCGGTCTGAGCCCGAAAGAAATCCATTAAGCAGCATAATTGCACAGGTTAACCAAGCAAAACAATTATTGCTGTTAGCACAGAAGCTCAGGAAAGGTGTTTGTCTGTGACAAGAGGTTTACATGGGAGAGGTGTACACCTATGACCTTGGGGAGGAGAGACAAGGGAAGACTAAAACCAGTCCGGGGACTTTAAAGGATTCTGATCACTGCTCTCAGACCTAACAATTCCAGCTGTTGTTTGTTTTTTTTTTTAAGTTCTGGAAAATTTTAAAACTTACCTTCATTGCAAGGGCAATGAGAGCTCCTTCTGTGGGCTGTCCCATCACACTATTTTTCCTGATAATGGCATTATTGACTACACAGCCAGCCTAGAGAAAGGGACATATTTCCATGCTGTATTTTGGTAAAATGTTACATTTTGGATAAATTAACATCAAGCAAACCATGATATATATCTAACCATCTTGATAAATCATGAAAATGAAAACTTAGTCTCTCCTCCTATTGCTTCTAACGTGCAGTATGGATAGGATAAGACCTAACCTCCATTTGAGATTCCAGCTCAGATCATTTCACTACCCAAACACTCCGCTTTAGCCTACAGTTGAATGTGCAAGATTTTATTTAATGCTAACACAAAACCCAGGGACCACCACAGTACATTTATATATTGACTATGTAGCTAGCTAAAGTCTAGAATCTGTCCACATTAAAAACCTGAACGTGGTAAAATTAATCAGTGTCTCCTCTGCCAGAATTGTATTTTTATCCAAAATGTCATTGACACTTTAAGCTGATGACTCGGGTCCCTCTTTACATGTCTTATGATTGCTACCTTTCACCCATAAGCTTCAGATATTATATCACAATTACTCAGAGCTTTTCCACGAGAATGCTCTAGCAAGACAGTTCATTTTAGAGTTACAAAAGTGGCTTTTTTCATGCTCATAACCCAAAGTGATCTGTACAAATGAAAATTGAACGTAAACAGGACAATCTGGTTTATAATTTATACTTACCTCCACTAGTTTCCCAACTGAGACGTTGGAAAATTCTTTAAGAATCTCCTTTGATGGCAGAAGATAAACATTTCCTTCTCCATTGTAGCCCACCCCACTGACCTGAGGAAGGGAGAGACAGAAAGAGCAAATTTCCCAGTGCCGGGCAGGACTATCCTACTGTATATATACATCTGTATATGTTGGGGTGCACTTGAGCAAATTTCGGATTTTGAAGGCGTGCTGGGGTTATTCTTTCTAGCTCAAAGCAATGCTTATAGGAAAGGCTGCAGCTAATGAAAGTATAATTTTACAATAGCTGTATGGGAACAAAAAGAACCAGCTTGTCTTATACAGAACTTGTTCGCCATGAGTTCAGAAGTCTCCGGCAGCTCAGTCAAGAGATCCAGCCCTTTGGTAGCAGTGGGTTCACTGGTCTTACCCTACTGATGACCGGCCTGTGTCTCCACTGCCTTACATTTTGCATCCCTGCATTTTTCACCCACTCTGCATGCAGATAAATGAACCAAGCGGAAGGATCAGGTCACTCGTATAATAAATATTGCTACAGAAGGTGGGCCCACAAGGGTCAGTGGCAGGTTTCAGTATTTACAATTATTGCAGAGAACAGCAGATGATGTCAATGAACAACTTTGTTTAAGGCACCTGAGCAGCTTTTGTACACTCAGACCCACCTCTGCCTGTCTCTAGCACTGCAAAAGTCCCTTCTCTTAATGGAATCAGTGAAGTGCAAGAAACTGCTTGTTTTGGGGCTGACTCAGCATCCCTGATTTGGGCCTAATTGAACTAAAAGCAAATGGGCCCTGCTGAGCTTGAACAGGAAAGTCCGTATTACCGCCTCGGCCATACCTCTGCCTGGAACCCATCCGAGGTCACGAGCCGAGTCACCGTCATCTCGTTGGCTGTCAGAGTGCCTGTCTTATCTGAGCAGATGACATTGCAGCAACCTGATGCAGGAAAGTTTTTAATCAGAACTAATAAATAATGCAACCGAACAATGAGATTCAGGGCCCCAGAAGAGGGAGAACGTGTTTCCCCAATGTCACTCAAACTGCACCAGTGAGAAAAGGGAGAAAGCACCAAGAAATGGATGAGTATCCTAACAGGGTGTTGTAAGGAAAGGATTGGAGTGCACGTCAGGGTATCATGCACATAATTTGGATGTGAGATGTGGTAGGAGACATCAGAAGAGGGCCACATCATCTTGAATATCATATAGTGGGCAGTCAGAGAAGGCACTGATCTCCAGGGAGTTGATCAATGTTTCTGAGCTGCAATATCACACAACAGAACAGCTGTTATATTCTGAAAAGACGTGTCAAATTCCCACTCTGCCACATGCTTCCTCAGATGAGCCGTTTAACCCTTGCTTCTCTAAATCAGGAATAACAGCTCTTCCCTGCCTCACCAAGGGACTGTGAGGGTAGATGTGTTAAAGACTGCTATAGAAAATACTTAAAAATCCACAGCTAAGAGCAGGATTAAGTGCCCCACTCGTGCCCTGCTCTGACAATCCTGCTTCAGTAAAGCACATTTCTTCCAGGGCCCGTTTACACCACAATACAGCAAAGGAGTGAATTAGCTGAGTCACCACATTCAGGCTAGTTTCCACTCCCAAGAAGGGGAAAAATGACTGTAATGCAAAAAAGAATCAGACTCCAGCTCCATTCTAAGTCTGAATATCTTCCCTGGCTCTGGAGATGACCACGCTGCTTAGGCACAGACCCCACGAGCATGATGACCACCAGGTAAAAGCCTGGAGAGAATAAAGCAGATTGGGCTGCAATTAAATTAACCGCAGGTTTGAAGGATTAGCACAGAGCAAAGCTATCACCTCCAATATTTCATTTTTAGTTATTGACAATTAAAGAATCAGATAAAGAAGGCGGCTTATTTTTCTCCTTTTCAGAAGTTTAACAGACACGGCACAATTAATGTGTAGGAGAGTACAGTTTTTGCCGTGCTTAGACTGTCTTGTCGAGTAGCCGGGCATCTGGCAGTTACACCTGTTTGGGCGCAGCCCTACCAGAACGAAATTCTTCATGAGATAAGGCCGTTTCAGATGTCCTGGGTCAGGGCAGATACAATAAAATAAGGGTGATAAGATTCCTTAGCTGCAGAACAAACAAGGGCAGTTCAAACAATAGCAGCATTTCCAAGGAAGACATATTTTAGCTGAAGGATCCGGCTGTGCAGCAGATATTTGTGACTGCATGGGCCAGGCTTGGCATTTAGTGTACTTTTTAATAGTGGTACTAAATACACAACATGTCTTCTCCTTCATGTAACTGCCATGCTGACCGAGGTCAGAGCAGCAAAGCCTGGAATACAGTGACCTGGGAATAAGGGCCAATTTGAAGATACGGGGAGGTGAAAGAATAATTTCATTACAGTTCATTCTGCCCTGCAGTTGTGAGGATGGGCTGGATGCCTTCTCAAGGTCCTCTCTGTCCCTGTTTTCCATGACTTTTTGGATATCAGGGAGATGGCCACACAGGCTGCAGAAGGACAAATAGTTTTGTTTATGCCACCAGGCTCGACTTGAGGGGCTGCAAGATTTTTTAGCCGGATACTGAAGAAGCAGACAGGATGGACCTGCAGGATGATCCCACAGAATGGGGAGGAAGGAGAAACCAAGCCTTTCAACCCAACCAGGGCATGCATATCTGCAGAGGCACTCTGCTCCCCGTGGGCCCGTGCCATGGGTTGGGTTGCACCATTCCTAGCACCTGCCTGTGTTAATATCACTGAAATAAGGGAAAAGGGTGAGAAACACAGGGTAGAAAATGTATTTAAGTCTGAGTGGGTTGCTCTGGCCCAGTAAGTATACTCCAAATTTAATTTTTTTAATCAGACCAAGGCTCACTTGGCCAGCCCGTTGCTATTCAGCTCAGATTTTTGAAGCCTGGCAGATGACCAGGCTGTGTGGCCCCTTTGCAGCCTTACCTAAGGTTTCTACTATGGGCAGCTTCTTCACGATCACCCTTTTCTTGGCCATCCGGAGAATACCCAGCACCAGTGTTACGGTGACCACGATGGGAAGGCCCTCTGGGATGGCAGCCACCGCCAGGCTGGGGACAGCGGAGAGAAAACAGCTTCAACACAGGGGTCAAGCTACAAGTACTGACCAAAACCTGTCAAAGGGACATTTCCATGGGGCGAGTTTTCCTGCTTGTACATGCATATCTGAATGGGAGTGTGCAGTGCTAACCACTGGGACTCCTGCACACTGTAAATACAAAAGCAGGACATTTATCCGACCCTTCAACATTTTTCTGGATGATTTTGACAGAGCAATTACTTTTCTTCCTCACATTGCCAAAGAGCATTAATTTCTGGCTAAGTAGGGACTTAGGGGCTGGATTTCATTTCATTTATTTAACTTTCTGAGGATGGAAGTTGAATATTCCTTGACATCACGGCTCACACGTTAGCTACTGGCTCCTGGCCACATGCAGTCCCTCATCTCCTCTCTTACATGTGGGTACAAGCTATGGCAGGACAGAATCAGCTCCCCAGATGTCCCCATGCTGCACACAGTGAATTGGAGCAACATCAGAACCTGCAACACCTAACTTGCTAGAAGAATCCAGACACAGTCTGCATCTGTCCCTTAGTTATTCCTTGAGTAACTCTGAACTTCTAGGTGTGTGCAAAAAGCAATCAAGGAGGACTTTCAAAACCATAGGCTGCTCTCCAAAACTCAGGCTTAAACACTCTTCTTTGCCACCACATCCCCCCAGGAGACAGGAAGGTGGGCACTGAGCCAGTTTGGCTTCTCTGTTGTATCCTCATCTGTGGTTTTGGTTTTATTTCCATAGAATATGTCTATTTTTTTTTTTAAAAGGATTGATTTTAGAGCCATGACAAAACCAAACAACAGGTTTTACGGGTACTACTAAAAGCACGTGGTTTATTATGCTTGATTAAGAGGTTGTGCATGCTTTTTATGCCGCATAAAATGCACATTCCTATGATTAGACGTAAATCCAGTAAAAACAGCAAAGACTAATATTTGCTGTTGCTACACTCCCACTAAATTCATAGTACAGATAGGAAAGGACATTCACAGCAGGATGAGCTGGAAAAGCCAGTGAAGCTTTTCAAAATACTGATTTCCAAAATTAAATAAACCCTCAAACTTTATTTTTTTCTATTAAACTCTGTTGTAAAGCTCACATTAATTTCATCACTGCAAGATCAATATGTATTTATGAAAGGTCTTACTCAAGTTCTCTTTTATGAAATGTCCATTGTTTCGAACAGGGAATTCCCTGGGACATGTTTCATTAGAAATCAAAGAGAAAGGTGCTTTCCAGTCCTTACCTAACTCCGATTGTGAACATGCTGAGGAGATGCTTCCCTTGTAACCAGCCAAGAAGCATTATTAAACCTGGTGGGGGAAAACCATCCGATTAAAAAACTTCAAGAAACTTATAAATCTCTAATCTGCTTTAGCTGTTGTTGGGGAACTGAGTATGCAATGAGGCCCCCATATCTCTCCTTCCGAGGTGTCTCTGCTTGAACCCCCAAAGTCCAGGTAACCCACATCAACAAGTACTTTTGAAAAAAGTGGCCCTGGAGCACAGAGGGCTTTCACAGCTGACCATGCAAGTATGAGCATTGCGTCCGACTCACCGATTATGCCAAAGGAGAAAAGAGTGAGTTGCTTCCCCAGCCTGTCCATGCTTTTCTGGAGAGGTGTTTTGGGGGTCTGGAAACATTAGAGTATAGCTGGTTTTCTTTGCTTGTTACATAAGATAAGAAGATGACACTCAGCCCAGAACAACGGACCCACACAGTCCTGGTTATCATTGCTGTGGTCCCTACGGCTGCCCAATATACCCACCCCAGACCCCCAACGGGGTCTGCTGGGCACAGACTGTCCCGCAGGGAGAGAGTCTCTGCCTCGATGCACTCAAGACAGACAAGAAGTGGGAGAAAAAGAGGAATTATATTCAATTATAGCTGGGGAGCCAAGGTGGAGACAGACTAAGGGCTAAATTGGAAAAGGACCTGACCGAGTCAAGGACTGGGTAATGTGTGTGCAGAGCCTCTGAGACAGAGATAAAAAGTCTGGACCCCCATCCCTGTCCCAGAGGCTTTGCACACACATTACCCAGAAGCGTCCACTTCTGCTTTGCTGTGATTTCTTGCATTAATGGATCGAGAGTTAACTAGTTTTTAGACCCTCATCTGTGTTGGCTCAGAGCTCTGGCCCATGAAATTTTGGCACGTATAGAAGTAAAATTTTATATACGCGGTGGAAAGTTGGGGGGAGGGGGAAGAAGAAACCATGATGTTTGGGTGACTACCAAGTTAGACACAAGCTGAGCATCACAAGTCTGGATTCAGAAGCCTAAATCCTGCTTATAACCTTCTTTTTTGGATACAGCACTTTGGTGTTCATCAGTCACACAGGCATTTTGTAGCAGAAACAGAAACGAATCCAGTGCATTAACCCTTGGAACTGCTCTTCCTCACAAACTTTCATCCAGAACATCCATCATTTCCAGAGAGACACAGAGACTTTTTTACCTCTTCAGCTTGCATCATTTTGAACACTTCTCCAAACTGTGAATTTTCACCCGTCCCAATAACTACACCCTGAAAAGAAGGAAAAAAGAGAGGGGGAGATGAAAAAATCTAGAGATTCTGTAAATAATGCTGAGGAAAAGATCAAGGCTGACAGGACTCACTTTTCCCTTGCCATATCGCACTAGGGTCCCCATGAAAACAACATTGCTCAGCGTGGTTATGTCTCCGGCTTCCAGTAAGACACCGTCAGTCTTGTTGCAAGGCTCAGCTTCTCCGGTAAAACTGGATTCATCCACCAGCAGATCTGTAACCTAATTAAAAAGGCACATTTCTGGCACTATTAAGACAAGAAATTTCCAAAACAGTCCTTTGTACGTATAGCTGTAGTTACCTCTATCAGTCTGAGGTCTGCAGGAACCCTGTCACCAACAGACAGATATATGATATCTCCAGGCACAAGCTCTCGCGCTAGAAGATGCTGCAGTTTTCCTTCCCTCAGGCTACATTAGACAAATGGAAAAAGAAGGAAAAAAAACTAGGCTGTGAGGTTTTTATTCCTTCTGCAGGCTTGGGAATGTGACTGGCAAGAAAGCAAGAGCCCTGCCCCAAAGAGCTTCCAAAGTAAATAAGAACGTAAAATCTTCATAACGATGAGGAGAGATGATTATGTTCAGTTTGGGCTCAGTTTTAATTCATAAACAGATGGGCAGGTTATGGAAGACTTGCATTTCAGCAATAAGTGACTTAAACAATACTTATATAGTAGATAGGAGTGACAAGATGGTGTATTTTCCTGTGGCTCATGCTTTAAATAATGAAATGCAGATTCTTTAACCTAAAAAGAAGGGTTTTAAAGCTAGAATTACTGCTGGCATTTCACTATTGTATTAAAAGTACAGCCTTTCAAGTGGTTAGATGTTTATGGTGTCATATCACAAATAAATAAAGAACAAACAGTGGTGTTCGTAAGATCCAAACCTGCGTGAACTTTGGACCAGAAGAAAACCCCATGCTGCTTTTGCAGTGGAAGGTTTCCCTGAGCCTCACAGCTTATTTATGTTGGCTGTGAGAAAACTGATTAGCAAAGACATAAGTAGGAAAAGTGTTCCCTGTAATCTAAAGCACCGATACCAAACATCAGAGCAGTCAGGGAAGCGGTATCTGATACACCCTACAACTGCTCCATGGGCTATGGTGTGACTGCACTTGTGTGTGGCCGATCTGCACCGAAACCCCCCCGTGCCCAGCACGTATGTGCAGCGACGGGCAGGCGTGGGCAAGGAAACCCGGCCCACGTGCACCTCCGCTCACAAGCCATTTTGTGCCAATCATCTCTCAGGGGCAAAACTATCCCAAAGCCAAAAAAATATGCAGGTGGGGTTTTTCCTGCACAGGGAGTCAGTGACACGCAAGAGGCTGCAGGGACCCTTATGCAGGGTGTGGAGCGGGACGTTTCTGGGACCCTCCTGTCTCTCAGCATTTATTCGATTCCACTGGGTGCCTACTTTAAAAATCAGAGTTATTTCATCCCCTTTCACCGTGCCTTACAGCTGCACCCACACACGGTGCCACTCCCCCAGACACCGGGTCCTCCTTATGTGCACGACAACCTGAAGTAATTTTCTTCACTGGTCGGTTCTGCTCTCATAACCCAAACCCTTCTAAAACCCACTGAGCCAGGCATGCCTCACCAGTTGCACTCGGGGGGCACCAGCTTGTTAAGTTCTTCCAGAGATTTTTCCGAGCGATATTCCTTTTAAACGAGAAAGGAGAAGAAAGCCAAGTTACACGAGCGGGCTCGCTCATGGCAGCCCCGGCTGCGGAGCCGAGCTCCGGCTAATGTACCTGGATGAAGGCCACGGTGACCACGATGAGCACTGCCTGCGAACAAAGAGGCATTACAGGCGTGGGCACACCAGCTTCAGAGAGCGGAGGGTTGGGTTGCAGGAGAGGTGCCACCTACCATGGCGATGCTCGCGGCGTCCTCAAATTCTTTCGTGATGACGCTTACTAAAGCGGAAGCCAGCAACAAGAGAATGAGGGGATTTTTAAACTGAAAAAAATGAACAAATCGTGATATAAAGTTAAATATGGCACTGCTGAAGCTGAGCTGGCCTCAGACCTCTTCCGAAAGGATCAGACATGTGGTTTTGCTGCAGGGACCCTCCTTGCTCATGAGAGCACCATCGCTCTGCCCAGACAGAGAGGGTGCAGCACCTGTGGTTGGGCTGAAGCCGGATCCTGCACCCGCACAGGGGACAGGCGGCATCAGGGACCAGCAGGACAAGGCAGAGGCTCACACCGAAAGACATGAGTTTCCTCTCTTTTCCCCTCCTTGCGCAGGCTCGGCTCGCCTTTGCAGACATACAGCGCAGGACTGACTCTAAAAGCTCCTTGGAGGCATGGTAGGTACAAACAAAAACTTTATTGTCTTTTTAGAATTTGAAACCAGAAATCCTCTTTTTTCTTTCTTTTTTTCCCTTTAATTAATCTGCTAAACTCTGTGCTGGACCAAGGGCTGCAGGAGTCAGATCCTCACTTTTTTCACTTTTAAACAGAGATTTTAAGGACCTTTCTCGTACCTCAGAAAGTTACAGCTCCATTTAGCTAATGTGGGAATTGATGTAAGGGAATTAAGTCAGGCAAAGACAAGACTGCCTGTTTTGGGTAACAGATGTGTGGTGATGCACGGTAGGAAAGCCAAGGTTTAAACTTATTCCTTGCTGAAGCCAAGTTTTTTTTCTCTTTAGAGAGACTGGGCTGAAGGGGAGGCTTTACAAAAAATAGCAGCTGGAAGAAGCCACATCTGCTGAGGGACGATGCTCAAGTGCCGAGGTGTGAACGGTGTGGGACTGCAAGCAGCTCTTCCAGAGACACCGACAGGTTGCGGAAGGGTGTCCTAAAGGATTCCCTTGGTGTCCCCGTAGGAGAAGGAGCTTGTTAAGGATGAGCAGAAAAAAAGCACCATCTCACATTTTATTAAGAATAAAAGAATCTTTGAAGAGACCTAGTGATGATTACAAAGTGCTTAAAGAATACTGATCACATAGAAAAATATGTGAAATAAAAATAAAGTCTTCCAAAGCAACTAAAATCTTCATGAACTGGCAAGAAGAAAATCAGTCAAATTGCTGGTTGAAAATAAACAACAAAGAAAAGACCCCTCCTGTTTGGTTAAAAGCCCTAAAAGAGAGGTGAAAGGTACATTAAATACTGATGAGAACTAGTTAATAAAAGCAAAACTCAAGGATAACTCAGCTGGGGAAAAACAAGATCGCAAATACCACCTTCTGCCTGGCTTTTTGGGGGCAGCTGGATTGAAATCGTGGATCTTCACCACGCATGGCACCGTGTATGGATGTATCCGTTACTGACATGTTGCTAATAGAGACGCTAACGCTCACCTGAGCTCTACAACTGCCTCTGCTTTTGCTGGACGTTTAGGGCTTTCCTTCGCTGGGGCAACTGAAATCAGAGTGGCTTTCAGCTACTATTGGTTTTCCTCAAACCTTTCACGATTTTATGACTTGCCTTAAAGGGAACAAATACGCTCCAGAAATCAGGTCACTGATCTACGGCTTTTGATTTGTGGGCTGTGTGGAGATAAAAAGGTTTTTATTTTTATTTTAGGATGTTAACTTCACATTAAATGATCCTGCATCTGAATCTCACAATGGCTTTCCTGGGGGAACAGACAGTTCCTGTATCCGAAGCTCATCCTGTTCCAAGGCTGAATCCGTGGAAGCAGAAATCCTGAATATTTCAATGTAGAGACATACTTAGGCCAACGCAGACAGGGGTTTTTGCCAGGAAATGAGAATATATGCAGAAAATCCTTACCTGGTCTAGATATTTCTTCCATATCGGCTCTGTATTCTCTACTGAAAATTCATTCCAGCCATGTTTTAACCTGCGCTGTAGCACAGAAAACTCAGAGAGTCCAGTCTGTAAGTCAACCTAGAGGGAAATTTAAAAAAAACCCTAAACATTACATATTGTAGAATAGTTATAGAAAACTTCTTAAGGCAAATTTATGTTAAAAACCTGTAAGCAGACTGGGCAAGATGTTCATGGTTCAGTCCCTCACAAAAAAAAATAAATCTATCCACTGTTTTTCTGTTTAGGTATTTATTTTTGTTAAACTATAAAACTTTATCATCAACCATCATAGAAACCCATAAAATAAGCACAAGTTAATTAAAAAAAAAAAATTCCTCAAATGAGAAACCATACAATAGATGACAAATTAGAAATCTAAAATAGTAAAGGAAAGAATTGATTTCTGGTTTCACTGTACATTTAAAGAAAAAATAAAAATACCCTTACAAAATTCAAACAGAACAAATGGAGAAGGAATAAGATCTATTTTGCCTGGATTTAACAAAATAGCAAGGTCAGACACCAAAATATCACTAAGCTTTATAGCTTTCCCTGGTCGTGGGGACTCAGCCTTTCTAAATTTCCATGTATTTTTCATACATGGGGTTAAGCGTGAGTTATCACATCAGATTTGCCCAAGGGCAAACTCCAGTGCAGGCCGAGTAACCGGAGTTTTCTTCCTGAGCCCCAGCGTCCCCCCATCCCTCCGGCTACGTCCACGCCGCAGCTGCGGGGAAGCTCGAGTGGGGCCGGGGCAGAGCGGCCGGTCCTGCCCCCGCAAACTTCCCTGCCCGGGCTGATCTCCCCGCTCCGCGTGGGCAAGCGGGTCTCAGCACGAGCTGAACCAGGTGATGGCTACAGCTTCGCTCTTTGCTTGGGGTAGGGATGGCGAGGTGAATTTAAATCTAACAATTCAAGCTGCGAGCAAGCCTTTGAGAAGTCATCTAGGACAATAAATGTGATGAGTTTTGCCTCTGAAATGAAACCTGCTATGAAAAGCAGGGGAAGAAGTGCTGCGTGCGTTTGCACAACGTTTTCCAAGGAGCTGCCGATAATTCGAGCGGGTAAGCTGTGCAGCCTGCGCCTGGGGCTCCTCTGCCAGCCTTGGCAGAGCACTGCGAGCGCTTCATTTCCCAGGCTGGACAATTGAACTCTTTCACCTGCAGCTCACAGGCCCACTCACTTCAGTGAAATCCTTCCCCAGGACAAAGGGAAGCACAAATGCCCAATGCTGAGCCTCGAACACGGCCAACACGAGGATTCGCCCCACGTAAAGGCAGAGGCGTTGGGCAGTCCAGGAGTTTGCGTGTGAAACCAAAGACCAATTTTGCTGCTCGGTCTCTTCCCAGAGTCAGATTACACAGGCTGCGTTGCTATGTTCACACAGACCTCTACAAACCCTTACGTTTAAAGCTTTTGCCAAGTCTTCTTTGTGGCATTTACATGCGTCTTTCGGGGGCAGAACTGTCACCTCCTTCTCCTGCTCAACTATTTTCAGCTCACACTCCTCGTGGGTCTGAGTAAACGAGATAAAGCGATCGTTAGGCAAGAGCACGGTTCATAAAAGCGTTTCAGCATCTCTTTGCTTCCTCCCTTAATCCCACTCCCTTCCCTCACCTTGCCAGCCGTGTGACTCCACAGTTAGCTAAAACACTTCCTAAATCACAGCACTTTATAACGTTCACTAATTAATCTTTATTACAGCCCCAAAGCCAGGTGCACAATCTTGTAGTGGACAGAAAGGCTGTTAGGAGCTGGATCACCAAAAAGACAAGCACATGCCACCGCCGTGGTCAGAAAAGTGTGCCGGGCTCTGCTGTCTGCAGGTATCCTGCCTGAGATGAGCATTTTTCCACACCAGTGTCTCACAGCCCGCTGCACGCTCAACGCTCAGAGCAAGGAAAAAACCTTTTCCCTTGTTAAAGACATAATAAATGAACAGAAAACGTGAGCTAGAAAAATGTCTGAGCCAGTGGGAGAAAGCAAAATTGTCCTCTTCCGTCTGCACAACTGTTTTCCTCCGCCACTGGCTCTGCAAACGCCTCCGAGCAGGACAAACCCTTCCTGTCCCATCCAGGCAGCCCGAGGGCTGGGCCGAGCTCCCAGCACCCAGGGGCTCAGCACCCTGACCTCTCTTCTCTTTTGGGATCCCCTGTCTCCTTTGCCAAAATGCTCTTTCCAGAGCAGCAGCATCCCCTGAAATCTCAGCCAGGCCCACGGTGGAGGTGGTGTGACCGCTGTTGCAGGGTAAGTACGGAGAGGGAGAAATCTCACCCTTCCCAAGGGACAGGAAAACACATTCCCATTTGCTTTCATTCATAAAGCACCAGAGCGCCTGTTCCTTATGAGAGGGATCGCGAGAGAGCGTGGTGCTCAGCCCCCGGCAGAGCTCAGCCCTGCGCCAGCTCACGCTCGGCAGGGCAGGAGGAATTCGGCACCAGTTCCCTGCTACCAGCACCCTGGGGTGTTTGCTGGGGGCAACATTCAGGTCCAGCTCATCAGCACCTGAGCAAGGGTTTGGAGGACTTCAGAGGTGCCTGCAGTGTTATTTGGAGAATTAGCCCTTCTATGAATATTCAGGAGGTTTCTAGGAACATCCAGTGTTTTGCAACCTAAAGCCCGAGATAAATGCAGAAAATCTCTTTGGCTGTTCGCTCATGTGGGTACACAGAATTGGTTTCTGTCTTGTGGCTTCTGGAGAGCTCGTAGCAGATGAGATAGGAGCATCTCTAAGCCCTGCTCCTTAAAAAGGCTTTTGCCACGTCCATACGTTGCAGCCCCCTTTTTATCGCTGCTTACTGACCCACAGTACAGCTGCTAACCCATGAGGTACCAGCACCGACCTGCTCCCAGCGGAAACGCGGAAGGGTTTGCTGTGATCCCTTGGTCTGTGCAGTGCTCACTTAGGAGCCATTTTGCCCCAGGAACAACCTGCCTTTCCAAAACCCCAGCAATTTGCCCAAGTTTTCCAAGGATTTTCCCGCTTCCATAAATCCCTCACGCTGGTGACCACGTTTTGCCCAAAGAACCTGCAGTATTTCTCCGCTGTTTTGAGGTGTACTAGCACCAGGCAGCGCCCTTATTTCATTTCCTTAACAGACATCCCTAGAAAGGACAAAACATGTCCTTCCATCTTCAAAACTGATGATTTATTCCTACTTGTGCAAATTCATCAGTTCCATGTAACTGTTGACTCCCAGACCCTGCAAGGCCGCAAGCCACCCGTGCACCTAAGGAGATGGAAGGACTTGCTGGGAAGAAAATACAGGGCTGTCACATATAGAAACATACCTTGCATTCCTCACTGTGCTGATTTGATTAACGTGGTTTCTACAGGCTCCTCTGTGCTGCTGGTGGCACATGCAGGTATCAAGGCAGAGCCTTGCCTTGAAGGAGTTTAAATTTTAATTAGAGGAGCCAGAGGGTGGGAAGAGACCCGGGCACGAGGGTAACATGCCTACAGTCCCCCAGAGCCAGCGGGGGAAGCCAGGGCCCAGCTCTATCACTAATATTTACCTTCGAAAAGGCGTGGAGGAAATGAATGACAAAAGCCTATGGATGTGCCCCAGCCGTACGCAGCCAGCGCTGGCTGCGGATCAACAGATATGCTGGCAGCTCCGTGCTCCTTACCGTCGGGGGCTGTTGTGAAATGAACAGCTTTATTGGGATGAGTTAATTCGCATTGATTAGCTTACGCCTGTAAGTGATTTCTGCTGGACGAACGTGGCACAGCTTTTCCTACCAGGTGAACAGCTCCGGCAACGCACAAGTTGGAAACGCATCCATGGAGCCCCATCTCCCTCCTCCTCTGCAAGGCGCTGCCGGTGCAGAGCCCCTTTGCCCCTAAGCACATCCCACCCCACGTCTGTTAGGCACCAGGCAGTGTCCTGAGCAAACCTCTTCATAAACTAACCTCTCGTTGTGCATTACTTTCTTTTCTACTTACATTGTAAAACAGATGTGGGCTATCAACATTACCCATTTACATTTTTAACCTTTATCCTTTAGGGGTAACTCAAGCACAAGAGCGCACGACTCCATACAGCAGGGCAGGAAGAAGTAAAAAAAAAATAAAATTATTAGTTTATCTATTGCTTTGCAAGATCAGGAGACATTGGAGGCTGTAAAGAGCAGCTGGCCATGGCTGGAACCCATGCAGCAGCCTGCCCCAGCGCACCTCGGAGCATGGCCGGTGCTGCCGGTACCTGTGCTGCTGCCTCCACATCCCTCGCCCTGAAACAATCCATCAATTGTCATGCCGAGCAGCCCATGCGGGAAGGAAGAAGGCACGGGGCTTTCTGCAGAGTACATAGCCCTTTCTGTATACTCTGGCAAACAGCCCAAAAGATCAGTCCTCGGGATTTACCCCCCACCTCTGCCTTTACTGAGGTTTTGCATATTTTTTTCCCCCTGTCTTAGATTACTTTAGACCAAGCTAATATAATGTAATCCAGTCAAAAGTGGGCTGGGTTACTTAGTCTAAGAAGAAGCCCTTTAAAACATTAAGCAGAAACCCTCTTGTATATTCTTCATCCTCACTAAAAGAAATAAATCAAACCATTCCCACAAAAGCCCTTTGCATTGCTTTTTTTGGCGCACGTGGCAGGCGGAGGACCTGCGTTTCAGGGGTGCAGGCAGCATGCAGAAACCAACCGAGAGCGGACCGCAGCCCTGCAAGCGAGAGGCTGCCTCGCTGGGCTTCGTTATCTGAGCCCCCAGCCCTTTCCCACCCACCGCTGTGATTTCAGCTCCTCTTGCACAGTTTCTCGCTCCCCCATCGCACGTCTGTCGCAGAATTGCAGACTTTCTACGTGAAATAAAGCCTCTGGTCTCCCTGCTTGCAGATATAAGCCTCAAAATAGACACTTTGTGCAAAAAGCCAAGGGTTTTCCAGAAAAGCTGCTTTAAAACTATTCCCTGGATTTTAAGTTGCCCCCAGGGGTACTGGAGGGCTGACTCAGGCTGGGTGGGCAGTGCCCAAACCTTGGGCTTATTGCCCCCAGCTGCACATGCCCCTCCCCTCACCCCCACTGCTCTCTTGCTCCTGCTCAAACCTGGCTTTTTTTTTTTTCTTCTTAATTGAAGAAAAATATCATCCAGCTCCTTTTAATCTAAAGCAAAGCCCCTCGAGCTGAAAGATGGCATTGCCATCCCTGCAGGAAAACCCCGTCACTGCAGCTCTGCAGCCGAGAGTGATTCCGGTTGAGGAGCCTCCTCACCCACCCAAACCAGTCCCATCCAGGCCCAAAAAACCTAAAACCCCAAGAGTTTAAGGCAACTCCATATATAAGGTCTCCTGGGAGGGAGGTGCTGCAGCCCTCAGCCCAAAAACCTGTGGGAGGTGGAGGGAGGGAGGGATGGAGTTAACTCCTTGCCTGCTGGAAGCTTTTCAGAAGCGAGGAATTGGGCTCGACACCTCTAAGGGGCTGAAAACACACGTGTGTGTAAGTGAATCCTGTGTCTCTGCTGTGCAGGGGCAATCCCACGGTCTTTGTTTTGTCACCTGGAAGGAAAGCTGCACTATTTAGTTTATTTTGAGGGCATATAAAAAAATAGGTACCTGCATGATAATAAAACTATTCTGATAAGAATGCTCTGCATATCCAGGAGGATATGGAGCCTGTGAAAGTCTCCAGGAGATAAATGTTGATTGGTGTGAAACCTGAAATGGAAAAAAGCCTCAACCCAAACTGGAGTAGTAATTTAGCCCTGAACGTAGGACAGGGCTGGGAAATACCCGTACTCCATCTCATGGCTACTGAATCCTGAATGGATCAGGTGTTGTGGGGGAAAGGATCAAAAGGGGTTTTGGTGAGGAGAAATGGAACAATTGCAATGGAAAAGTCCAGAAACTCTGAAGATCTTAATGCACTAAAATCTACTACCCAGACGTGCCGGGGGTGGGAGCCAGCTCTTTCTAAAGCCAACAAGAGAAAAAGCCCCTAAATCACAGCAGGTCCCTGGTGGGTTGGCAGTAGATATCCATGAAGTCTTCTCCCATCCTGATGCTCTCCAAGACCTTAAAGGTGTTTCCATCTTGCCCTGGGCTTCAGTTATTTCGGGATGAAGGAGGCAGAGGGAGGCCTGTGACTGCCTATACGGCTCCCTCCCTCTGGCACCCATCTGTGGCTCCCGCAGGATGGGGGCTGAGCGTCACCAGTCCCAGCGGTGCCGTGTGTGGAAATGGAGGCCACCCCACAGTGTGGAGATGGACAGATTGCCCTGGATGGCGTTACAAAACCCACCCATCTCATCAGGTTAAAAACTATTGGGAGCTGAGGGCTGCAGCCCCCCGGGAAATCTGCCCTTGACTGTATCCATTGGGTGCGCTGGGTGCCACGGGGGTGACCCTGGTACATGGTCAAAGGAAAAGGACCCACACAGCGCACAGAGGTTTTTTTCACTTTCAAACACACATACACAGGTACGTGCGCTTGTGCACGCGTGCACACACACACACACACACACTTGGATGCTCAGAAGAAAAATCTTTGGATGTTTTTCAGATTTCTGCAGGAAACACATGGTTCTCATAAACTGTAAATTGGCACCACAAAAATTCCCTGTGATTCTGAAGGGGCCGCTGTAGAAAAAGAGTTGAAACCGTATACGGCAGAGTCTAGACACAGGTTGTGCCTGTGCTTTGATGTGTAGGTTAACTGTTCTGCCCTCTCCAGATAACACCATCACCAGAGCCTGTGAGCTGGCCATCACCTCGCAGCTACCAGCGCTGGGGCTTTTCCTTCACAACCCACAATTTGTGTATTTATCCTGGCTTGAGTCCCATCAGATCACCTGGACTCACGTCTTTAAGGACCAGGACAACCCTTTGACCAAAATACTCAAAATATCTGTAAGATTGAAAGTGCTCTGTTTTCAAATAAAGAAGCAAAATACCATCCTTAGAGGAAATGTGAGTCATTCACCAGCCTAAATCATAACCTGAGAATACGTTCTCGATTTATCAAGCTCCTGTTGTCATTTCACATCGCTGCCTACTTCCTACACCTGTAGCCAAAACGCTGGTCATTTCCCTGTCCTGTTATAAACCTATCACACTCTGCACGGACCAGAGCTAAAACTCAAGAAGGGTTTATATTTGGAAGTAAATATGTATCGTTATTTATTTTGGCGCAACAGAAATGGTACCGCCAAAGAACAAGCCAGACTAATTGCTGGTGGCCTCCTGCCTATGGATGGTCAGAAATCTCAGCTTCCCATCAAAGCGAGATTACAGACACTTTCTGTAACCTCAACAAGATCTTCCTTTCCTGGGATTTTGAGCTATGTTTAAGCAGTGTAGAGTAGCATTGCACAACGCACTGCTCAATGTCTTATTTTCGTCTCCCTGTAGCACTGACCAACCCCCATACTGGAAAGACGAGACTCAGAAGAGAGCAGAGGATTAGCTGAAATAACATCTGAGAAAAGACCTCAGTCAGACAGCCACGGAAAAGAACATGAATATCTCAAAAGTGTGTAGATGGTGCTTGTTGGAACGGGACTAAGGGCTAAGCCTGCATGCTGAAGGAATTAAACAAATCAGGTTTACGTGGGAGGACACCCAACCAATCTGTCGTGTGGGAGAAAAAAATGGGGCTTGAGCAATGGAGATCCCTTTGCTGAGCAAACGTGAAAGAACATTAACAAGAAAGCATTATTTCAAAGTGGACTCCACGGGTCTGAGCTAAAGCTCTTCTCGGCCATTCGTTACCAGTAATGACTGCAGCAACACAACAGACAGACGAGGGGTCACAGCCCACCACCCGTGACTGGCACCGGTGGCAGGGGGTACCCCCGGGGCCAGGGTTAGCCTCGCTCTTCATTTACCCTTCTGCTGAGACAGCGTTCGCGTTTTGTGCAAGCACTCCCGAAAGACCCCGCACAGCGCCCATGGGCCTCACGGCCGTTGCTCTGCTACGACTTTTGTTAATTTTGAACCTCCTCAGCGCAGAGAACAATGTTCCTGGCCAGGACTTCGGCCTGAGCTATACGTCCTGGGAGTATTGCATAGAAACTAGTATCCCCATCTCACCCCGCTGCCTGGTAAACATCATTAATCTCCTCCCCTGTTGTACAGGGAATGACTCGGCGCAGAGAGAGGAGAGCGCAGCAGCAGCAATAGCAGAGAGAGGAGAGCGCAGCAGCAGCAATATCAAGTTACCGGTGGGACAAAGCAGACAAAGTAGACAAATTTAATCCCAATTACACAAACTATTTCAGCAGGTTCAGGCAAGAGGCATAGGCAATCCTCACCTCCTCTTCCGGCTCGCCGCTCCCAAGGGGCTGATATTTCTGCACAAAGTGGAAAAATGACCTTTTCTGGAAGAGTTTGGTGAAACCTCCTTCTACCATCTTCGCTGCACAGCAGCGGGAAGCGCCCCGGCGGCCACAGGGACGGTGCCACCCGCCGCCGGCAGCGCTGGCTCGAATTCCCCTGCAAGCGCGGGGCTATGGTTACGGGTAGGGAGAGGCAGCCTTTACCTGCCGCCAAGTCACGCCTTCGACCACAGGTGCTGGAGGGAGGCTGCGCACCCTTCGAGCAGCGACGCAGGATGCTTCGCCCATAAAACCCTGTCAGGGGAAGCTTGTCTGTGTTTAAGACCGTGGCTGATACAGGAGTGAGGTGGCCCTATGTGTGTGCACGGCTGGCACCCGAAGAGCAGGTTGAGGTCTTGCAGCTCTATGGTCTCCTCCGCCCTCTGAAAAATTGTTGCGGGAGGAGTGTCGGCAGGGGCTACATCTTGGGCAGGCAGATAGGGAGGTTGTTTTGCCAAGGCCGCTGCGTGCAGAGGCAAGACGGGTTACACACACTGCCGAGCCTGTTTGTAAACTTCCAGGCTGGGGAAATCCTCCTTGAGAAACACTCCAGTCAGCATAACGCCGGTATTTATAAGTATTTACATCAGGGAGAGGGCATAAATGCGTGATGTGTGAATACGTGATGCTCGTTTATTAAGAAACCACAGTCTTTCACTCGGTAGAGGGGAGCACTTTCATGGTGGTTCTCAACATAAGGCCGAAGTTAACCAGTTACACCCTTTCTGAAGATTCATAGCTCAGGAGCATCGTGCTCTGGTTTGCACCAGGACACCTACATCCTCCCCCAGGCATCATGACTACAGGATTCGCTTAGGCTTAAATTGTCTCTAAGGTGTAAACTATGAGATTAAGACCCTCCTTTGACAGTAGAAACTGCATTGAGGGAATAAATATCATTCCCAGTCAGAGAAAAACATGTGTTTTCTGCAGAATAATAGTTTTCTCCTAGGACATCCAGGTGCCACCTTCCTACCTCTGGGGCAGCGGAGGTGGTGACACCCGGACCATGATGGGACCAAAACCCCAGACCCTTACCTGTGTGACAGCCCACAGTACCCAAAACCTGGCCAACTTCCATCAAACTAGTGTTTTCCCCGTGGAGCATTTCAGTGTTGCCTATCTACATCTCCCAGGTCCCACCAGTCTAGTGAAAGCTGGTGAGCCCCATGGGACACCCCACCAGCATGATGCTGCTAGCAGCTACAGATAATACACATTGTCCCAAGCTGTGTCCCACTGAAGTGGTCTGGTGGGAGGGCTTCTTTCCAAAGACCGAGGGGAAAGCGGAGCGATTGGGAAACACCCTGCAAATAGATGGGTTCTCGTAAAACACAGCTGGGGCTTCCTAAATCCCTTGGCTCCTGATTGAGAAATGCTTTCTTAATGACCCGAACTGGATGTGTCAGGCAGATGGAGGAAGTTCCTGCATCGCTGCAACAGCCCTCCTTCCCATGGGAAAATATCCAGGGATAATGCTGGGCACTGATTTTCAGGCAGCTCACATCCAGGCCCTGCCCAGGGTTTAAGTAAGGTGCTTAGCCAGGGCTTGAAGGCAGCCCAGGCTCCCAGAGGTATATAGAGATTTAGACCTTATTGAAAGGCATAGGAATTAGGTGGCAAAACATCTCCGAGCTCACATATGCTTCTGAACTGGTCCCCTCCTTCTGTAGCTTTTTTAAGGATCTGGAGCACAGCCAGCTGGCTCTGCCGTGGTCCTGATAAGGCAAAGCAGGCACTGCCTGGCAAGGAAACACATTCTTCTGTTCATCTGAGCGTGTTTGTAGTAGTCATAGCCTTGGGATCATATTGGGATATTGAGTTGTTCCTTGTGTCTCTGATAGAAAAGTGGTGAAAAACATCTTCCCGCTCTCTAGGCAGGTAGGAAAAAGATTTCCTTGGTTTTGTTCTTGCTTTTCTCATCCTGAAACCTCACCCATCATCCACGCAACTGGCATACGGCAAGGGGAGCTGGCACCCGCGAGGAGCCCGGGCGTCCTTCTGGGGCTCTGCTGTGTGCAATGTGTACGCGGACTGTGCAGTCCCGAGTGCGGCTCTCGTTAGCCAAGCGCTGCTGACAATACGGCTAATTGAGCAACAGGCTCTCGCTGACAGTCTCCTTATTTAACTTCGTCCTCTGGACAAAAAGCTGCTGCTTGTGGAAACACATGTAGCTCAGCGCTGTGTGCACAACCCGGAGAAGAACAAACTCCGGAATCTATGCAATGTGGACACGGGCCAAGACGCCACATCCCGGGTTGGCATGGAGGCACCCGCTGTGCTCCGGCACTGCGGTCACATTCCTCGGCTGGGGGGGAATGATGCGGTGAGGGGTACGACAAAAATACCGAGACAAACAGGACATAGAAAAGGAGAAATACGAGTTGATGAGCACCATAATAGTCGGTGTGGTTTGGTTTATTATCCAGCAGACCTGCAGTTCGAGAGAAACAGCATTGTTTGGGCTCAGGACCATGGCCCTGTCTGTCATCTTTAGGTTCATTCAGTTCTGTAACGTGAAATTACATTTTAGCACCAATGAAATTGAATAAATGCAGAAAGAAAATGTAGTTGTTGCTGACTATTCACCACACATTCTGCGAAATTGCTGAACGGACTGAAGTCTCATTTTCTTGCTGCTTTTGATTTCTGCCTGTTAGGAATTCTAATGGAAAATAATGTATTTTGCTATCTCATGGCTCAGAAAATGCTGGGAATAAACTGAATCAAGACTATAATATAAAGAAAACAACACTAATATAAGTTGTATTTCTTCATTCTGGTATAAGACACAATTTTCACGCTATAAAAATGTAACACACAGCCCAATTACAGTACGTTTATAGTATTTCCTATTTAATTGGATAATAAAGCTCAGGGTCAGACTCCAGTTCTAAGTAGGTTATTTGGGAAACCTTCTTTTTTTAAATAGAAAATGTCTGTTATGAATACGCATACAGCAAAGCAGCTGTAATCTGAGATTACGTGAGCCCAGAAGGTTGCCGCTGCGAGGGCAGGGTGCTGCTTTCAGTTCAAAACTCACAGCTCCTTCACCTGCTTCCCTCGCCATGACCAGGGCTCGTCACACTTCTGTTCCTCTTGTGCCACCTTGAGGTAAAAAACCTCTGGTGCACGGGCAGAATTTACTGAGTTTGCTGCTACCCAAAAATCCAAGTACTCTGCTTTCAGGTGGGGTTTTTCCCAGGCCCCCGGGCAGAACATCCGCTGCTCCTGGTTACAAAAGCAAAGAACAAAGTTTTGGGCCACGGTTCCTTTCCGTCTTGTCAATGCTACTGATAGAGGCTGGGTAAAATCCTTAGGTCTGTCCGTAGGTGTGTCACCAGGAAGGAAGGGGGAATTTAATTCCATCTCCTGGTTTCTGTTTGCACAGCCTCCACTGCTTAAATTGGGAGACTCATCTGGTGGGGCGGCTCAGGCGGGGGGGAATGAGCCCCACCATCTACATCTCCGTCTTGGAAACTGGCAAAAGGTCTTTTTTGTTTTGCACAGCTTCTCCCGTGGTTCTTGCTACCTTGTCTACATAGAAAGGTAACAAGAAGGAGAAAATAATGGGAAGAAATAGGACTTACCTCTGTAGACTCACCAGCAAAAGGTGTCTTTTTTATTTAAGTGACGCTAAATGATGCTGTAAATCCTTTTGCCATAGACAGACAATTGATGCTCACCTGACACCACCTCCAGGGAAAAACTCTAGTCTGCATAGACAGTGTGAGGTGGGAGAAGTGAACAACCCCCTGTATGAACAAATCCCTGCTGTGTAGTGGGCAAAGAGAAACTGTCAGCCTCCAAAGACTCTCCTATGGGTTGTCTCAACCTCGTAGGCTTCTTCACTGCTCATGAAACTATGGAACAGCTTCCTGAAGGTAACCAAAACACTTCTGCACCATAAAGCTTAATGGAGCTCTGAACTAGGCCTGTTAAAATTACAGCGATTTTTTTTATTATTCTCATATTTACAACTTCTGCAGATTGCTGACCTAGAGATGCACGCTGTGGTTTCAACGCAGACCCCTGACTTCTTGAAGATCTATTATAATGTTTGTCCTTCTGTTGATCCCAGCTGTTGGGTTCATGGATGCACCGATAGTACTTCACTGTCATCTGCAGACGATGCCTTAAGTCACACAAAGTTTTCTCCACAAAGACCATTAGCCTTAGCCAGCTACATCAACAGAAACTATATTTGCTTGCATTAACATGGAAACAAGTTGAAATCAAAACATAATTTTGTGGTGTTCACCAAATAGATCCTTCTCTTGAAAGCCAAGGTACTTAGTCCACCTCACACTTCACAGCAGGAGGCACAAGTTATGTCACACACCTCCCGTAATCTCCCCATCCAAACAGGCCATATGACCACTGCCATGAGAAGTTCAAGTGATCCCAAGGATGACTTCACTGCCAGACTGAAGAGCTACCCTGACACCTAGTGCTAGCTGGCATCTTCTCAAACCCACAGAAAACATTTCCAAAGCAATGAAACCCACTGCTATTCCCTCCTTGGCCAAATTACAGGCAGTTTCTCTCTCTGTGACTCCTGTTATGGTTTCAGGGCAGAAGGGAAGCAATGCAGAAGGACGCCTGCCCGCTCCTGAGGAGCAGGTAGAGCAAGACCGGTGTGGGTGGAGCTGGTGGGATGGTGAAGTCTTGCCTGCTCCTGGAAACGCAGGGCTCAGCAGCCCAACCTCTCAGTGCCAGGCTCCTCTTTCAGCTCCGGTATCCTGCAGCGGGCACCAGCCCAACGCTGGTCTCTGACTTGGTTTACTTTTCCACCCTTCGAGCAAGCCTTGGCCTCCTGCAAAGCTGTCTGAGCAGCTGCTTGTGCAGCGCAAACCACCTGAGCTGGCAGCTGAAACCCATCCGGCAACAAACAACAGCTCCGAATCAAGAAGGAAAATGCCTGGTCAAATAAAAGGGTCACCTTCTACTTGGCTCACCATCACTATCCTCCTTACAGTACTGTCCATCAGCTCCTCTTTGGGCAATAGAAGTGAAGGCGCCAAGAACTGAGTGAG